CGATCTATTCGAAAAAATCGAATTTACGGTCCGATTTGCTTAAAATTCGGTGTGCAGGTAGCTTTTCAGCATGTATTAGCATATGTGATCAATTTTCTCCGAGAAGTGGACCAGGGACCGATCTATTCCAAAAAATCGCATTTATGGTCCGATATGCTTAAAATTCGGTACGTAAGTAGTTTTTTAGCATATATTAGGATATATGGTCCATTTTTTCCGAGAAGTGGACCCGGGATCGATCTGTTCGAAGAAATCGTATTATTGGTCCGATTTGCTTAAAATTCGGTACGTAGGTAGCTTTTTGCCTGGCTTATAGATTCCTGTTTTCCAATTTTCATGCAATTTCGAATATAAATAGCTTTAAGTAACGACCATATCAAGGGGCGAATTCGTCACTAGGCAAGATTTTTTTGCGCCAATCAGAAACAACGGATACTGTCAAAATATAATTATAATATATAATATATCTCAACTAATTTATATTTAGAAAGCCGTTTGTTAGTTTTTGCAAGGCTCGAGAGCGGCTGAGCCCATTTTTTTTTGAAACTGCCACCTGCCGCACGTGTCCCAAGGATGGTTTTAGGCTGAAAATAAAATCTATATGTAAAGGGGGCGTGGCACTTCCCATACAAACCGAATTTCTCATGCTACATATCTCTGAAAGTGTGCATGGTAGAGTTTTGGAAATAGGTATGGAGTTATACGAAATCAATCGCATACCCTTGGAGCTAAAATTTTAGCTATTGTAAAAAGGGGTGTGACATCTCCCATACAAACCGAATTTTTCATACTGCTTATCTCTGGAAATTTGTTGGTCGAGTTCTAGAGTTTTGTATGGAGATGTACGAAATAAATCGCATACTCTTGGAGAAAAATTGGAACTATTGGAAAAGGGGGCGTGGCATCTTCCATACAAACCGAATTTTTCATACTGCCTATCTTTGGAAGTGTTCATGATAGAGTTCTGGAACTTGGTATGGAGATATACGAAATCAATCGCATACTCATGAAGAAAGAGGGCAGCTGTTGGAAAGGGAGGCGTGGCACCTCCCATATAAATCGAATTTTTTATACTGCATATCTCTGAAAGTATTCATGGTACAGTACCGGAACTTCGTATGGAGATATGTATATAGTTGCAATCAAGCCCATACTCATGGAGAAAATTTGGGCTATTTTAAAAGGGGTGTGAGGCCTACAAACGTACCGACCTTTAGCTTTCTTTGAATGAATTCTTTTATTCTTCTGTAGGTGTGTTTGTGAGTGAAATCCTCCTAAATGGTTGTACGGATTTTAACGAAACTTTTTGTGTGTATTTGAGTGTGTCTCTGGATGGTTTAGTTTCACAATTTAATCCGACAGTTGACGCTGTAGTTGAGTTAATACTAAAACTCTTATTTATGCAGTTTAAGGTTTGACACTTTACCAGATTTTACCAGCAAAAATTCTTCGGGTAAAATCTTGCAGCTTTTGACAAAGAGAGGACCGATTTAACTCTCCCATTTTTCCCCTACTTTTCCAGAAAACCGAATACAGGAACGCTTATGGGCTAATTTCAATCATAATATTACGGTACAGTTTTGCAAACCAGTCAGTTATTGTTTTAATTTAATTTTTGTTTGGCCGAACTCTTTATTTAATTGAAATGCATTTACAAGCCGGTGGGTGCTTATTTCCAAAAAGCTTGCCTAGTATTTGTAATTAGTATTAAAGAAATTTCATTTCAACTCTTTTTCTATTTCGACTGTTTTAATGAGTCTTAATTTTGCTTTTTATTCGTTCGACGATAGTATAGGCGGTATACAAGGTGCGTCTGACTCGCGAGTCATTTATGTACGTGTTGACTCGACTTCGACTACACACAGTTGAATCATTCAGAGTCATGCCAGGAGTCATCATCAATTTATTTTTACAAACACATCCAAAACCGACTCGCGAATCAGACGCACGGTGTATGCCGCCTATTACATTTTAAGCATTAAAACATTTACAATTTGAAAATTAAAAAAAAAAAAAATCACTTCCTGTTGTTAATCCATTTCTCTTCATTCCCACCATGCTTCCATGTATCAATCAATCAATCAATCATGTAATCAAAATCATTGCAATGAATGACGATCATTGTAGGAAAGTTTAGCGGTAAGGTTGCATCTCACTTAAATCGCCTACATACATAAATCAAATCACTTTAGCAAATGCCCTTCCTTGTCCTACTTCTATGTTCTGCTTGTGCCGTGTGTCTGATACGCAACATTCGGCCTGCCAATCCTGTTTGAATATTCGCATTTATTTTTGCCATAACCTCATTATAACCTCTTTGTTGTAGATTTATTCCATGACGCTGCGGCTCAGCGCGCTATTCGAATCCCAAATAAAGACGGTTATTAGTAACTGGAAGGCAGCGCGTCGGCGTGCAAATAAGAATAAAGCTGGCAGCGCACGCGGCTCTAGCACTAGCCCTACAAAGCGTCAGCCGCCCGATCGTAATCGTGGTGGAGCCGCATCGAAACGTGCACGCACCCAGCGAAACGCACGCCAACTGCGTAGTTCAGATGATGATGATGATGATGACGACGATGATGACGATGAAGATGGCGGTGGTCCGGTGAATGCGCAGTCACGCAGCAATCAACGTCGCGCTGGCGGCGGGGCAACAAACGGCAGGAATGGCCCAGATCGCAGTGCTGTAACTGCTGCTGCGAGTACTTCCGCAGGTTCGAATCGTGTTAGCTCGTCTTCTTCACTACCAAGGCGTGGCGGCGGCGGCGGCGAGCCAACACAAGCAACGCGTAGTTCACGACGGAAGGCTGTCAGTCAAGAGTTACACGATGATGAGGATGAGGAGGAGGAGGACACTGAACTACATGTAACGGACGAGCACAGCAGCGCCATGAGCTTCACCACAGAAGATAGCGATAGCGATGATAGTTCAGATAATGGTCGAAATGATAGCAATGATGGTTCGGATAATGAAGACGCGCGCGGTAGACGTGGCGCTGCACGCCGTTGCAAGCGACGAAGCGGTGGTGATGATTCGGAAGATAGCTATAAACCAGACAATGATAGACGGGGCAGTAAAAGACGCCGTGGCGGTGCGCGGGGTAGCAAAAAAAAGGCTGCAAAGAAGGCGAGTCGAAAACAAAAGGATAAACAACCACAAGCTGCGCGCAAACGCCGACGGCGTTTCGAAGATGATGGTGATGAGGATTACATGGATCACAGCGGTAAGAGGAGAACGGCGGCAACGGCAACGGCCACGACAGTAAACACAAATGGCGTTCGACGTGGGACAAATGCCGCAGCGTCCGTTATAAAGAGCAATATACGCCGCGGCAATAGGCGTCGTTTGCAATCCTCGGAGGATGAACAGGACGATTTGTTGGCACAGCACACAAGCTCGCAACCGGACGAGAGCACACAGGATACTATCACTGGTCATCCGGCGGCGACGGCGGGCATGAGGACACCAAAGAAACGTGCTTCAGCGGTAGGACGCACGCAGCGCGGCAACCAGGTTAATGGCGCTGGAGAAAATGGAGCGAGTACAAGTGCCAACGCGCTCCTACAACAGAGTCCCTCACGCAATACGCGCATGCAAACGAGCACGTCAGCAGCAGGGGCAGGTGCTTCGGCAGCGTTGAGCAATCGGCGGAGCGCAACCGAAATCGATCACACCTATCACCTGCCTGTGCGCAATGGACGACTTCTAGACTCGGATACAGACTCACGGGAAGTGGCCGCCAACGCGCGTCCAACAAGGTCTAGTTTCAAGCGTGCTATCTTGGAGTGGGCGCGCACGAGCGATGTGGAGGATGCAGCGGAGGATGAGGATAGTGAGGAAGCAGAGGAGGTGCGTGCGTAATAATGCAGAGATTGAAGAGAGAGAGTGAAAGAGAATTTATGTTTGCTTTATTTTATGATTCACAGATTCTGCCAACCCCGACGCCCACAAAGGTGACGCCATCGAAGGCAAATAATGCCAACAATCTATTGAACGGACCATCAACCAGTCGCGCCGCTTATGGTGGAGGAGTAGTTCCCGTAGCTGTTGGACAAGTGCGTCAGCTGCGCACCAATCGCAACACAGTCGTTGAGCCAACGGATGAGGATTCGGAAGATGGTGACGGAAGCGAGAACGAGCCGCTCGTTTCGAGTCAAGCCAACGGAGTGGCCGCCAGTGGACGTATGCATTGTAAGTAACCTTCATCTTAACCTTAACCTTAAATCAGTAAAATCCCTAAGTATCAAATTTTTTCCTGATCATTTGACTACTTCCGCTAATGAAGTTTCCCTTCAAAAAGTATTTCGTGGAATTGTCCTAACGATTTTTTCATGGTTTTCTTTTTTTTTAGTGGCTAGTTACCCGCCAACCCGCAGCACAACTAACACTGCCACGCCGCGCCTACAGGCGCACGCAGCTGCCATGAGTAACGCGCATATGACGCGCTCACATGCCACATCTACGACGTCATCATCGAACATAACTACCTCTACAATATCGGCGCACGATCACAACTATTTGGGATCCGAAGCACTGCGTCCGTCTTCATCGGCTAGCGCATCACGCAGCGCTTCACGTCGTGTGCTATCAAGACACCAGCGCAACGCTGACGAGTTGGACAGCAGTGCGGATCCGCTGGATAACACAACCCTTTACATACGCACCTCAGGTCTACGCCGTGGTACACCCACTTCGACGACGCAAAGTGCTTTGAATGGTGGGACAGTGGATGCCACGATATCGGCTGGCGTAGTGGCAACGCTAGCGCCACAACCTACGCGCACAGTTCGACGAGGTCGTTCGCGCTATAGTCAAGAACACTCGCAAACTGCCGAGGACGACGACGACAACGATGATGATGATGTGGCAAGTGAAGAGGATGCCAGCGCCGCTTCGGACGAGGGCACTGACGGTGGTTCTAGCGCGCATAACGATGTCGACGTCGACGTCGATGATGCCACTGATGACTCGGAAGACAATCAGCCATTGACTTCGTACGTGCCGTCAGAAAGACGAACTCGCAATCATGGCAAACCAGCGCGTCGCACTAATAGCCGCCGTCGTTCGGACGACTCCTTCGTGTGCGACGATGACGATGAGGACTACGAGGTGGAACGCCAGCGAGAGCGGCGACGTCAACAACAAAAAGCACGTTCGCGTCGTCGGCGTAGTGACGGCGATGGCGGTAGCCCTCCACGCGGTAGCCGCAAGCAACGTGGCTCACGCAACCAAAAACGACCGCGTTACAACGAGCAGAGTGACGATGACGCGTCGCATGACTACGTGAGCCTACGAAAGCGGCGCCGTGAGGTGGATGTGGGAGAAACGAGGGAAATTGTAGGCAGCACTTCACAAAGGCCGGCGACACAGCGACTGTCACGCAATCATGAAGATACGGAAAGTTCAGACGGGGACGATGACGAACAGCTGGTGAGCGTTAGTAGTCGGGGGCGTGTGCGCAAAATTTCGGCCAAGGCGCGTCGTATATTTAAAGAGTAAGCCAGTGTGCTGGCTGCGTTTGAGATACCGACGCAGCAACGAAAGTACTGGCGTTTGAAATGACTGTTGAAAAAACCATATGCACACACACAAACACACACACACACACACACACACTATGCATATACTACATACGTAGTTGAAATATTTACGGAGGAAAACGAATGTGTGAAGAGTAGTATGTATTGAAATAGGAACTTAATTGAAGATATTACATTTAAAAATGCAATTAAAAACAAAAAAAAAAAACTACTTTAAAACATGTATGTTTATGTGGAACTCGTTGCAGTCGCGCTATTGATTTGTTTTACGTATGCAAAACTTTCTTTTCGCTTACACAAAATATGCGCTATTATGCGATCTCGCAAACGCATTGCACACAAATACGCGCGTGGCTAATTAGTAATTTAAGATTTAGTTAAAATGTATGCTTTAAATAAATAGTATGTATGTTTGCAAATTGTAGGAACATGAAAGCTGTTAGAGAAAGACGCAACAACAGACACGAAGTAGTAATAAAAAATAAATCGTATAAAAGAACTTTGTTGCTCTATGGCATTAATATGCAGGCAGGCTCTGTAATTCTCTTGAATTTTAACAAACTGCACTTTGAATCCGCCATTCGGTGTACGGTGTTAATTTTCCGAGTTTTATTTCCACTTTCACTCGGATTCCAGAACATGCCTGATTAAATTTTACGGACATTATGCAACCACCAGCAGGTTAAAAGAAATTTATTTTTAATTATCTTTACTTATTTACCCGACTAATGAATTAAAAACTTTCCATACGCCATTTAATTGTAATTATTTACCATTTATATATACATATATGTATGTCGCTGAACCAATGTATTGTAATTAACTCAAAGCAAGTGGATAATTCTCGAAAAGTTTGTATTTTACTATGAATTTCTAGGCTTTCATGCTCCCATTATTACAATTAGGGCTGTGCGATTAATTGATTACTCAAAATTTTAATTAATCATAAAGTAAATAACTCAATTATTCGATTAATCGGAAATTATGATTACTCAAAAGTTCAGTTACTCGAGTAATCAAGATTTTTGATTAACCAAAAACAAAAATATTTGAGTAATTTGCTTTATGATTAATCAACATTTCGAGTAAAATGAGTAATCAACATTTCAACTCTTTACATATGTATAAAGTAGTTAAAGTTCCTTGTTACTTTGAAAACAACGTTTCTGTTTTCAAAAATTAAAACGAAAAATTTTTTCATATACAGAATGTAAAAAAGAAAATAAGCATTTTCCAAAGTAAACTCTTTTAACGAGCAAAATTATTATTTTTGAGTAATCATATTTCAAGTAACTCGATTAATCATCGTTTTGAGTAATCAAAATCTTGATTACTCGAGTAATTGATTAACCGAATAATTGATTAACCAACTTGCTCGAGTAATCGAATAATCGCACAGCCCTAATTACAATTGTTTAATATTGAAAATCCATACTTTGTATTTGTTTTTGTTTATTTTTTTTTGTTTTGGAATGTTTTTTTTTATATATTTTGAAAATTTTTTTCGCTCAATTAATAGTTGCGTTCCAGATGCTTCACGATTTGCAGGTTTTTTTACAGGCAGTCGTTCCAGGTGACCACCTTCCATAAGGTTTATTATTTGGAGAAAACAGCTGTTCCTGCAAATCGGGAATATCGTGAAGCATCTGGAACGCAACTAATGTAAACATGCATACATAGCGATTTACCATCTTCATTCATGCACCGTAACGCGAACCGGATCGGTATTGCCCATCATCATCACCACGCATTAATCCATCATAACTTATTTCAATGTAATTTTATAATTTACCATATAAGATCAAATACAAAATAGTAATTGCGTAAAAAAAACTATTCGTTCATTCATTTTTCTATTGCGGCGAATCGAAGTTGGTATTTATTAGGGGAGCACTCCATAATCCCGACTTTAAAGATCCCGACATGATATAATCCAGAAAATTAAAAAAAATCCTTACAATAAATTCAACACAGGACACATATGTAAATACAATCCCGACCGGGGACAATTGTGTCACAGTGGACGAAACTACAGACATGCCACAACACAACACCCCGGACAACTACGGGATGCCTTCTGATCTCGCCAGAACATCACATCCACAGTGAAGCCGAAATTCTCCCAGTATTGGGCACAACATCAGGCTCAGCAAGCAGTTCCTAGTAGCACCCCCCTATAAACGTCAGCACTCGTGCAGCTCCTCTGGGACTGCGACCGTACAGACAGCATTTACAAACCCCAGTCGAATGAATGCCGTCACCTGTCAACTGCCACGAGACCCGCGTAACTCTGGCCGGAATCGCCTCCCAACATCCAAACTGAGCGTCCAACATGTACAGATTCACACCATGACACCAACCACTTCTTCACATCCCACTCAATCCAACTTAACTAACACCTCTCTCACTCCGGTTCTACCCCATCGAAATATAAAGTTTTTATATTTTTTCGGGATTTTTTGGGTGGATTGTGTCTTGTCGCGGGAATATGTATGGTCGGGATTCGGTCGTGTCTGGATTATGACGGGTCGGGATTTGGCCGTTTGTTGGGTTTTTGGTGTACCTGTAAGATATAGTTGCTATGAAAAAACTTAAGCCGGGGGACGTCATAAACACCTACATAACTAGTGGTCTTAATCATAACCGCCCTGTAGCAGAAACGGCCTAGCAGCGTTTGACAACGTGCGTCGCTACACGCTACTAGAAGGCATTAAGTTATCCTCACGCAGGTACTCAAATGGTGGACTGCTTGTAATCTAAGTGGTAAGCCACATTTAGAGAGAAAAATGCTATTTTGAATACCCATTTGACCTTCTCTAGTAAGTAAAAGCCGAATCCACTTCCACTTCTAGTCTCACACTATTATTTTATTTTTATTAAACTTAAAAATAATACGTATAATAAAATTTATATTCACAAGCTTAAGCGATTTGGTTTAGACGTGCGCAGCGCGTTTCACATATTCTTTAGCCAATTTTTTCACCTTCTCCACATCTGCGGGCGTTCCAAAACGCTCTTCGAATTCTAGATACTTCTTGAAAATTGTGCGCATTTTCTTCATTGGTATCTTTTGTATGACAGCACGCTCTAATACGCTTCTACAGAGGGGAGAAAACATTTTTTTTTTTTTTTTAATTTTATAGTAAACAGCTGCTATTCATTTTAAAGAAATACA